CCGAAGATAATAGGCATTAAGCGGCTTTTGGGGAATTTGGGATGAGCAAATTTATGCATATGAGATAAGAGGTGATGCGACTCTTCTCGATGACGACGGGAAAAAGTATTTCTTCCTCGATGCTATTCTGAATTAATTATGCTCTAATAATTGTGATAATAATTGCAGTAGTAATAATTTATTAATTCTCTAATAAACACGGGACAGTTCTTAAAAACTTTTAATAAATTCCGGTAAAATGAAGAAAGAACGAAAGAAAGATATTTTTTAATACAATGAGGAAATTTTGTAGTTTTGAGGAAGTTCCAACTTAATTATTATAATTCTTCTGCGTTTTCATTCGTAATAAAATATGAAGCTGCTTTGGTATTCCAGAATTAAACGTCTAAATCAAAGTAAAAATTCATTAACGCGCATCTTCGCGCCTACGGTATGCGTCGATTGGCCATGCGTGAGTCGATTCTCACCTTGCGAGGTCGCAAAAAGTGCCAAACGCTCAATGCGCGATAAAAGAAGCGCGAAACTTTTTAATTTAACTACACTCACGTATCACACACGTTCACCCACGCGCATAATAAAGAATCGCTCGGTGTATTCTTCGATTCGAGACAGCATGACAAATTCCTCGCAGATACCTCGACCTTGGCCGACATTAGTAACCGATAATACGTCTTTGTATAATTTTGGCTGATTGACAGAAGGCTTCTCGATCCGGATGCGAGAAGATCTCTCTATTTATAATTGTACAAGTAATCATACGATCTTCGTTAGCGACCCGGCAAATTGCGGATAACAGAAAAATACGAATCCTTCAATCGAAGATTTATCGAATTCGCGAATACTGTGTACGACATACGACAAGTTATAATTAACAAACAGGCAAACTAAAGCTTCCAAGATTCCAGAATCCAGAAATTCGAAAAGAGCTGCCCTTGGATTTCTTTTCTTTAATATTAAAGTCCAAATATGCGGTAATAATTTACGCTGTCTTTCTCGCGCGATATTACGGCGATATAATAACAACTTCGAAAAAGTGAAACACGTGTCCTCAGCGATAAGTATACGACCCTCAAGGGTAGCGCGAACACGCGTGCGATAGGTTAAGGTCTTTTTGGATAAGCCCGCGAACGTACTTGACCGACTATTCTGTTTACGCCCTCTTTTGCGCGTAAGCTGGTTGATATGCGATACAATTGTTTTATACACTTTCCCGGAGCGCGAGTGACGGCGACAAACAAGATCCTAAATTACTATCATGGAATTTTTATGATTTTTATCGGACGTTACCGGCGCTCGCAAACATGACGTAACATCCTGTCGTGGGACAGAAAAAGAGAAACTTATCAATGATAATATACGCCGTGAAAACAGAGAACACGTCTGCGAAGCGTTTTAAATACGAATTTCTTTTTCTTCTTCTTTAAACGAGAATATTACTCGAGTCGCAAAGTTATTTTATAATTTTTCCGTAGCTTTGTGTAACATGTAATTCCAGTTTAAAAGAATATATTTAAAAATGGCTTGGAAGTAACGCAAGTATTTTATGGAACACGATTATGTGATCTTGCTAGGAATGACAGAATTAGTCATACGTGTTATAAGATTCGGAAGAAATTTGCTAGACACAAATTTCTATTTGCAAATCCGGCAGCGAGAGATTAGCGATTATATCTGACAGTTCGTGATGTAAAATCATTAAGATCAGCTTGATTTATCGAGCTTCACACAAGTATGACAAACAACTACATTCTTCAAGTTCGGACGATAAAGATGAAATGGGAGAACGATATTCAAATATCCCGGGCGTGCGTCTGTATAACGAACATGAACATAATTTATGTAGAATTCTGTGCGTAAATCCGCAACGATTGACTAATTGACCGACTCTGTCCACTTCTCGCGATTGTAAATATACATACAGATGTGAGCAGGTCTTTCCAGGCTGGATTCCGAGTCGGTCTGGCATGACGAAGAAAATATTAAACTAAAAAAAGATATATAGCTAAGACCTGTAACGTTTTACATTGAAGTCACAGATTACTCTTACAACTGTTTTCCCCATGTTGAAGTTTAAATTCGCTTACCCATATTATTTCAATTCTATTATTTCCACCTCTGAATTTAATTTGTATCCCCAACATTTCCAAATAACCAATGTATTAATTAACTTACTTCACCACAGATAGAACACGTGAGATTAACAAATCATGATATGTAAAATCATTCACTCAATGTTGAGAAATTTGTCCACATTAGTCAAATGCATAAGCGCGAGCTACGCTTTCTTCGCTATTCGCGACAAGTGCGTGCATGCGTGCATGCCAATTGGCAATTTTATCGCGGTCGACGCGCTTTTTCATACGTCACCTAAGGTTATTGTTCTCGCTCACGAAATGTACCACCGTCCAAGGAAAAAAGATGGACTGAGATTACATAACATATGACTGTACGTCGTCTTGGTACGTACGTAAGCTGAACGCCGCGAGCATCGGCAAAACGATATTATTTCGTAAAAGCGCATCGCGCCACGTCGCGCAAAAGTATGACACGCTTTTAAGCAAACGCCCTGCAATGGCAACGCCCGACTCTTTCTAAGAAGAGTTTTTACCGGTTAAGCTTCAACTATGCCAACTAATATTTTACAAACAGTTACATATTTTTTTAACAAAAATACATACAACTATTATTTTCGAATGCAAATGGTCAATGTTCTATCTACTATCAGTTGAATTTTCAACTGCTATTCAGAAATTAAAATTAAAAAAATAGCTAAAAAAATGTTTTTTCTTGATAATAATGAAATTATATTCTAAGAAATATCCTTTCAATATCTTTGCTACATTAATTGCTACTTCTAAGTCTAATAGATATCGTTTTAACTGTTACAATGAATAAAATTAATTATTTATTAACAAAATCCTCTCGATCAATCGAAAGAATCACCAGCAGATTGAAAGCCATCACACTATTACTCTCTCCAAGATTATTGACCTATCGTGATGTTCAACTCATAACTAATTTCATGAACAACTAATCGAACAGTGATCAATTGGTGTGATTAATGTGATATTGCAGAATGCGTATTGAACCGAGGTAGGTCTCTCCGTTTCGCTCGTATTACGCAAAAGCGAAGGTGTCTTATAATTTACAATTGAACGGGAGAATCATGGCCTCTACTTTTAAATTCGCAATTCGAACACTGTTCGATTATTTGCAGTTTCAATGATGGATTTTTTTTATTACATAATAATAAAGAAAAATGAAAGAATATACAATGAAGAATCACCTTACATATATAACTCAATGTTATATTAATATAGTGACGTTTCATTACTACTGCTATTGCAAAATATCATAACATATTTGTAATATAAATAAATGAGCTCACTGGTATCCGGCAGACGTTGATGTCGTGACGTCATTGTCGATTCGAATATGTCTGAAGTGCAATTGCGCATCATGTATATATTTTGTTGACCAGATTGCAGCAATAGTTTCATCGCACAAAGATCTTCTTTATCAACCTGTATAAATATCAAATGCATAAGTAATTTTGGATATAACTTACACTATCGCTTTTAATAAAAAGAACCGATTTTACACGAATATGAGAGAGGAAAAACTCGGTAACTCTCTGGATAAGTCACACGCGGACTTTTTACATGATTACTAGTAATGAATGACTATTTATTTACTCGCGATAGAAAGTTTATAAATCGGATAGTTGCGGACGACATCGCGTCGAATACAGGAAAATTTTAATTTTATGAAACGTTTCTGCAATATTTTAATATCCGATATATCTGACAATAATTTTAACGAAATTTAATGAACCTGTTCTATCAAGACAAAACCGCTTTAGTAACAAGAGGCCACTTGTACAAATATGAGTTATCAGATTCTTTCACTAATTTCTAGTATTATACGATTCTAGTATTATACGATTATACGAATTACGATGATATTCATATTATTTTATCTCTGATATTATGATACAAAATGTATAACACAGCTTTATGAATACAAATAGCTCACTTTCAACGTATTAAATATAAATAATTAGTTTTCAGTGATACGTAATCCAAGCTTAAGATTATCTTTTTTTATATAAGAAAAATATGTTAAACTTGGAATTCCATTTTTATTCTATCCAATTCAATATTCTATCGAACTGAAAACGCACGAAATATGCATATAGAGCGAAACGGAAAGCACGCTTTCGCGAGAACCAAACTCCAAATATGGCTGCTCATGTACGTTACAAATGTAATGTTAACTTGCTTCACGTTTCACAACAAATTAAAGATATAATCGGTGATTGAATCACGTTACATGATTATACACATAACGAGATTTGTATTTGCTTCATATATGGAGATTATTGTGTTTACCTGATACGAATTGGAATCAATTTCGACACGAAAATGACTCCTGCGAAACTTCGAAATATCTTCAGCGTCCGCCATCGCATTTAAAAGGACGCATGCGTGGCATCGAGAAAGAACGTACACTTGCTATGTTTTCATTGGTTGCGTTCAGAAAACAAAGCACTCACTGAACGCTTAGTAACTATTGGTCCTTACTGTTAGATCCTTACATTCAGACCAATAACGTTGAACTCAACCGTTGTGTTTTCTGAACGCAGCCATTGCTGCATGAGCGACATCTAATCTTGAGATAACTAATCTGTTTTAACCAATGAGAAAGTAGAATTAATGCAGGCATTCAGTATCGCAATTGCTCGTGAAATGCTCACTAGATTTTTATATTTGATTGGTATATTCTTTTAGATTTAAATATATGCATGAATCAGATACAGGAGTTTACTAAATATTCGATAAACAGGTGTAGTACTGAATACACTCAAGGTAAATAGTTATTTTTTATTATATCCACTTTTTTCTGAAAAAGAATGTAAAAAATTATATCCAAAAAGAAATATTAATAACCGACCTACTACTAATTAACTAGTTGAAATCCAATTGGTTGTATTCAATCGTAACGCTCAATCGGTATCCATGAGCTGTCACTTCACGCATGCGTAGAAGGACTCCTGTTGTGGAGGAAATCTCCCAGCACTGATATAAGGTTTTGCGATTCGTTGTTGCCTGATAGATTGGGCTGCATTTGCTTCTTCTGTTCCTCAGTTTTTCTAAAATATAATTCGAAAATGTCAGCGTGGAGACAAGCGGGATTAAAGTAAGAAAAATAAGTTCTTATTTATGTATTTTCTCTTATATATATACTACGTAGACGACGATTTTCCATCAAGGTTGTTATGTAACCTATATTTTTATTAAATGGAAAATATTTGATTTTATCATTTCTTATACGCGTAACAAAATATTCTACAGATCGAAGATATATATGTATTTATTCTTACGAATGTATTCTTTCATTACAGCTACATTAACTATTCTCAAATCGCAGCCAGGTTAGTCAGGCAAGCCTTGAAAGCTGACCTGAGGGCAGAAGCAGTTAAACGTGATGATGCTAATGTAAAGTTCACACAATGGAAAGATGGAAAACCTATTAGTATGTACAATTTGAAATTTATTATTCAAAGTCAATGTTAATACAGGATATTATCATTAAAGCTCCTGATTCCTTTGGTTATTTTCATATTGCATATTATTTCATGGATGTTTATTGTTAACATTTCGCAAGAATCTTAAGCATGTATTTTCTCATCCCTAATATTATCAAAGCTACAGAGAAACAGGAGTTTTAAAGTTCATATTTCACTCATGTTTCTATAAGCTTAGTATCAGAGTTATTGTCAACATCTTTATTTCTCAGTGCTTATTTTTCTATTATCTTTATATTACATGTCAAATCTACTTTGTTACAGCTGAAAAAATGTGATCATATTGATTAGTAAGTTTATAATTTGTGCTGCACACATATGTTAAAAATATATTCCCTATATTGATATATCCTTAACATGATACTAATATTTTCTTCTATCATAAAGAAGTATTACTATATATAGTATATACAATATAACAATTGGTTTTGCATAGTTTTTTTTTATTAGATATAGATATAACAGTCTTTTGATATTAATATTTGCACTTGACGAAAGTATCGACTAATGTTATTTTATCTTCCGAAGATAAAACAAATGCCTTATGTTTTAATACATGATATTTGTCTTGTTTCTTAACCAAGAAATAATACTAATTGCTTAAATTCCAATCATGACAGTAATTTAGTTTCTTTTTTTAAGTAAATAACATGTTTTTTCAGATGTGTTCATTAATAAGCATCATAAAAAAATTATATTATCTTATGGTATTGTCTATACATGTTTTTCTGTTGCAGAAAATGTCTAGATGGTTATCACAGATGGATTCCGAATTCATCCAATATGCACGTGTTTACAGCCATGTTAGTGATGTATAACGATAGAATAAAATGTTCATTATACATCCTTATCGTTACCCTTCAAGTTTACTCACGATTAATTTTTGTAACGTCATCTTACAACAGGGCTGTGTGTCTTGCAATGTACTGCAAAATAGGAAGACAAATAGTTCATAAAAATGTTCTATTATACATTAACTGTTCTATTGTACATTAACTGTTACACTCACCAATGAATTCGGAAACCAGATCATTATCGTTTTCTCCCCGCATACTTCCAGTGATTTCCTCATTTTCTACCATTGGTAAAAATAATTGTATAAATTCAGTGGAGTACGGGGGTGCTATCGCTTCCAAAACCTTATGTTGTAAATATTTATTTCATTAAAATATCGATATATTATCGCGTAAATCAATAAAAAGAGTATTATACTTCACCTCTGTAACAAAATATCTGATTAGAGACACGTCTGTGTCGCTACGCTGCCAACATTGCTTAATGTAACATACAACAGGAACGACACAGCCTTTGCTCAATAAATTTACCATTCTATCGATCAACATTTTTTTCATTTCCAGCTAGAAGATATTGTTAAAAATTTATCATTAGTTTCCGAAATAATTTAAACGTCTTATGAGAATTAATTTCTCGCGTTTTACAGGTTAACGATATTTTTAATGGATAGTTACCTGTACAAGTATTTCCAGTTCATCTTGTTTGCTCTCAAATAATTGTACTAGTAATCTCAATACTTTCGGATGTAACAGAGGATGACAAACTACAACTTCGTCTAGTAAAGCAAGATGAAGAGGACAATGTTCTGTGCATAATTTAAAATAAGAAGGTTCTGTAACAGTGCATTCTACCCATCGTATTACACCCACACTTACAACAGGAAACCTGCATCAAATAAATTATTAATGAAAAATATTTCTTGATACAAAGATCATATATGAATAAACATACCTTATACATTGATATAGAGTTTGAAGCTCTGCTATTAATTCAGTTGATCCTTTATTTACATTGCATATATTATGTACTTTCTCAATTGCCTGAGTAGTAGTTTTCAGATCATCCTTATTAATTTTACGTGTATTGCCTTTTTTAGGAGCAGTTTCACATACACTAGCTGCATAAGCTAATAGATATATATATTTTGATTTATGTTCAGGGTTAATTTTTACACCAGGTTTAAAAAGTGCGTCAACTAATAACTCTACAAGAAAAACAAGATTATATTAAAGTTCTTACATACTGTATTATATTAATAGTATAATTTTGTCAGTTTACCTAAAAATTGAGGATTACGTAGTAACTCTATAGGAGGTGGCTCTGCAGCCGAATAATTTCTATACAATACAGTGATATCAGCAGGATTTAAACTATTTCTTGATAACATAGATGATAATGCCTGACATGCTCCAGGACTACTAGCAGCACCATTCAATGCCATAGTTATTGGAGTAACATCATGTCGATTTTGTTGGGCACATTTGGTGATCTCTTGGGAGAGTCTTTTCATCATAAAGCCACCACGAGGTTCTTGTGCAAGAATTTGTAACAGAACTTGGCTGTAAACATAGGTATGCTGACCATGACACACCATCTTTGCACACTCCTGTATACTTGATTGCCAATTTTCTGTGTTTTCAAGAAATCCAGCAATTGCAGTTTTTAACACACGTGAGAATACTTCAATTTGTTGCGCCGCAGTTGAAATACTAGTGATTTCTCCTTGAAATCCAGCATCAGATATAAGTTTAATAGTGAAATTTAACATCAAACAATCGGGATATTCTTCCGCAAGTCTATAAATAAGAGATCGCCATGTGGGATGTTGAATCATCTCGGTTAACCAAGAAGGGGTCTCACCCTCTTCTGTAAAGATTTTGTCTGCTTTCTTGGGATCAAAAGTTTTGAGAATCATATCCTTCAAATTATTTTCTACCATTGCTTGCACATCAGTAACATTTACAGCTGCAAGAATCAACCATTCTGCAAGTAGGTTTGCCATTTGTGCACAAGCTGTATAATTTTTGGATAATAATTCTATAACTTGCTCTGGATTTCCACCAGCTTGAAAGTATCTTTTAAGTTGGACAAAAATTCCAGGCTCCATTATATAATCAGGTGTTTTAAATTTATCCAAACACTCATTCAAAACCTCTTTCGGATTCTCTGGTACATCTTCACTGCCTCCTTCATCACTGTTTCGACCAATTTCATCGCGCCAACTGCTGCGATCTTCATCATAATCCATTGATTCCATCTAAATATTTTGCTTTGTATTACATTACTAATTAAATTGGTATTGTTATATGCATATTACTATATGTATAAAAAACAGAGGACAAAGTATCTTACAAAATTGTATTGTACAAAATTACAAAATAAGCTGTACAAAATTAAAAAAATTTTACTATATGCTTCATATTACACTACAATCAATATTTATTATTAATTTACTGTTATCAGTGAAAAGTAATATCGTTATCAATTACTGAAAAAAATAACTTATACCGTAACTAACGACATTACAAGTAATGCGTTATTTCTCAACTCTGCGTTCTAAATCAAATTGCGTATCAAAATATAATTCTATTAAACGTTTATAATAGGTTAGAAAAAAATATAAATTAGGAAAGAACGCGTGAACTCTCTTTTATCTAATTGTTCTGTCTTTAAATTGTTCATAATGTTCCGTATATGGAGAATATTTATTCGCAAAACGTAGTTACTTACTTTTCGTCGTTAAAATCTAATGGTTGTCTACCCAATTCTTCTCCTTAGAATTATGAACAATGAATGCTTCGTTGTCCGTTTTTATTTACTTACAGACAAAGGTTGCGTTCCGATTTTCACTGCCAGCACTGAAAATCTATAGTATACGTGACATGTGAACGTGGTCTGTTCTTTTTAGCTACACTATTGAACTGGTGCGATAAGTTAAAGTGAGAAAAAATATAGTTGTCTCATTCTAACTTATTGCACTAGTTCAGCAGTGCAGCTAAAAAGAACAGACCAACATACTTTTCGTAAGACATAACAGCGAAGTTTTGACCAATCGTGTTGGTCGATTCGACCGTCCTTAACCGTAATTGTTTAAAATAAGTAATGCGATTGGTCGAAATTTTATTTCTTATGAACTTTATGACTTATGGAAAGTATAGGCCTGTTCGTTTTGTCTGCACTGCTGAACTGGTGCAACAGGTTGAAGTGAGAAAATCTATGTTTGTCTCACTTTAATTTAATGCACTAGTTCAGCAGTGCAGACAAAACGAACAGGCCTTATATGTGATGACCTTTAGGGCCAGAGCACAGACTTCTGCATAACGCATAATACACAACGCATAAGAGAATCAACAAATCAGAGTTCTCCATTTCTGTCCTGAGGAGGGAAATAAAGAAAACTAATTGGTTTACTCTCTTATGCGTTATGTATTATGTGTTATGCAAAAGCCTGTGCTCTTGCCCTATGGATGACGATATATATATATATATATATATATATATATATATATATATATATACATACACATACATATACATCACCTCGATTATTTAAACATCTATTATTTTCATCATTCAAAATCGACTTTCGTACGATATTTTTCTTCCTTAATTATTCCCTAGACGATAGTTTTATCCAATATTACTAGGATTGTTACATAACGGATGTTTCCGATTACCTCTTTAATTTCTTTAGAGATGAAATAAATGATAAGTATAACAATTTATTATCATCATGACCTTTATGACAATTTAATGTTTGATCAGAAATTTTTCGAAAAAGGGAAAAGCAAACCTTTTGATACACTAAACTTAAGCTTGTTTTGTGCTGGATTTAGCAAAGTCCAGTTACATACTAGAAATGCTAAGTTTTAATTGGTGCATTTCTAATATGTTATTAAATCTTATTATATTTTCAAAATTATATATTCAAAACTAATAGTAATAACTAATAATATAGTCTTGTTATGTAACGGTCTTTCTAGTAAATTAAGCAGCTTTTATTTCAAGCCTTTAAAAAAAACACCGTATATACCTCTCTGCGGACAATTCTTTTGATTACAGATATCATAATTATGAGGTGATTCTCAGTATTTTAGTTAAGAAAGCCTTTGCTTATTTCGCAGATTTCCATGAGAGGTTTCTACAGACTTTCTTGTAGACCCTCAATTTTGAATCTAGATCTAGAGAGAATTTTACACATACACGCATACACACATCAAATACATACACACATAAATTTGTACTATATGCAACGCTGTAGAAGCATCTAGAATACTTTTATAGCAGATTACAATTATCCATCCGTTAATGGTGGAGGCGCTCTCGTCGATTTCTACGACGAGAGGGAAGACGTTGTGTGTCACGTGGTCAAGCGCATCGAGCGTGATTCGAGAGTAGCCTACTGGCGCCCTGGTGGCGGTCTTTGGGGCCGAGCGCGGCCATATTATCTCTCGTGGTCCTCATCGCAAGAAAGCAAGAAGGTGGTGCAGTGCTCGGACAGTGACGTATTCAGACGAAGGCGATGAACGTGATTGTACATCCGCGCGTGATAATCGTCGAGCAGTGAGCAGCGAGTAGCATGGCCAAGGGAAGCGGCAATCCGGCCGGCAAGCAGCCACCGTCACGCAACGCGAAGCCCTACGATGCGAACAACGTGAGTAGTCTCGCCTCGGCGCGAGACTCGCGCGGCATGAGCGGAGAATTCATGGATCGCGCGACGCCGTTCTTCCCACGCGACATCGTTTCTGAGCCACCACAGCGACCATGCCAACGTCGAACACTAATTCCCCGCCGCAAGGCATCCCGTACATCCGCCCTATCCCTACGACGTCCCTCTGTCAAGTATCTACGGTGTCACGGTGGTTATGTGAGTAGTGTGCCTGATAACCTCAATCTTTCTGCACCCACTATGCAGACCACCGTGCGTGCACGCGTGTTGAAGCGCGCCTTTTTTCGGATGCATGCATTTCAACGGAAGATCGAGCATGCTTCCCCCCCGAACGGAGCCAGGCCTCTCGGCGCGAAAATCACGAATCATACTCCTCTCCGCTTCTCTTCTCTATCTCTCTCTCTCTCTCTGTCTCTCTCTCTCTCTCTCTCTCTCTCTCTCTCTCTCTCTCTCTCTCTACCTACCTCTCTCTCTTCCCTCTCCCTCCCTCCCTCTCACCCTCTTAGCTAATATCGTGCGCCAACGCGTCACGCGCTCTGCGTAGGTCTTCGTGTGTGAGCTCTCGCGGTATGTTACCGCTCGCGCTGAAATAGACTAGTCTCTCGAGTACATTGTACATGACAGCATTGTCAAAATCGGGGGTTAAAATTCGAATTGTCTCTCCTGATATCGCGACGCCATGTAACTTCAAATTGAGTTGAAAGAACTAATACAGTTTCACACGATTCTGTTATCTTTTCTTTGTATGTAAGAGTCTGATGAAATTTGGTAAAATACATATTTACAAGATCAATATTTATAAGGTGAATTGAAAAAACATATATATATATACATATATATATATATATATATATATATATATATATATGAAGACTATTAACCTAGCAAGCATTAAATTTCTTAGGGATAAAAAGAAAGAAAGAATGAGAGAGAGAGAGAGGGGGGAGAAAGAGAGAGAATATATGCATGTTGTGTGTGATGAATTATATGTAACAAAAAACTTTAAAATATAAATTTAAGTTGTAATTACATATTATTCTTTGAAATTATATATTATTTTTCAAACTTATGAAATAAAATTTGAACTTAGATTTTCTTTTTACACTAGTATCATTTATTAAATTTTATTACTATTATCTTTCTAACTCAAAATTATTTCAAGTTTAAATTATTACTATTATCTTTGTAAGTCAAAATTCTCTAATAATTTGATATTAGAAGCAGTAAATATTGATCACAATAGAAATACTTATGTATAATTTCCAAAAAGTTATTTTTATATCTAAATTTTTACACAATTTTTAAAATATTGGAATTATATAATAACATGATTTTTAATTTTTTTAACAATGTATACTTGAAGTAATATAATAAGATAGATTGAGCTTAATTACACTGTTACGACATAATTATATACCATGTATATATATATTACATATAGGTATATTTCTGTTTTTACAGTCATTTGTAAAGAAAGTGGCGACCAAGGTAACAGATTTTATACCCCAACGATCGTGGATTAGCAAGTGGTTCAATACCTCTCAAGGTAGTGAGGAAACATTAGATGTTAGAGAGAATCCTGAAGAATCAGAATTCATAGATGATGCGCAGCAGCCTCCTCCTAGCAAGCGACCACGTATTCGTATGGATGTGACTCATCCACCTGGTACATTTTCTATACAACCAAGGGGTAAAACTGCATTGAACACAGTTGATTCCTCTAAGAAGCAATATTCTATCCAGAATGAAACAGTAAGTCGAGTATTTGAATAATTAGACACTTGTAGATAGAGACATCTCACTTATTAAAATTTACTACAGCCGGAAGACTTCTTAGAACCTGCAACGGCCGGGCCAAGCGGAATAGGTCGTTTAGTTACTTCGACACCTGCGATACCAGCAGACATTAGAACTGTGACGTCACACAGATCTGACTTAAATTCCTTAGCTTCATCAACTAATAATGGGACAGCCAATGGCTTGGATGATCACTCGGAATCAAGTGAAAGCACCAGTGGATGCAGCTCACTTACTCCGCAAACGAATAGACACGAAGGCCCGTCAAATCTGCTGCAGCAAATTTACAATTCGTCATTTACCAATAGAAAGAGACATATTGATGATAAATTGACATTTAGTACGTATAGACCACACATATTGCATATAAATTATTTAAGTGGACGTTTATTATATAAGTCGCTAAAGTTTAGTGTCAGACATTAAATTTGAAAAACGCTGTAATATATAACGCTATATCTAACGCTATATTAATGTGTTGTGTAAATTTTCTTTTTTCTTTTCAGCTAATCACTTACAGTCTCCGAGGTCCTTGTTTCTAGATAATAATTCCCGGGACACTTTAAGTAGTCGTAGACCGAGTTTTAACGCATCAGTTATGACAAATTTGATAGGTCGCGCATCTCCTCTATCTTCCCCTTTTTATAGTGGTAATACTACTTTCGGTGGTTCGAATACGGCAGGTCTTTATAAACGAGGTCGGAACACTTTTAACGATTCAAGCGAGGTACGTATTTCAGTTCAAACAAAAAAATCGAATTCTTTAGATAATGCAGCAATTTGGTCGAAAATATTTTGTTATCGATTCATCAAGTTACACTAATTCGTATGTTGATGTTGTATTTTAGCTGCAACTTAAAGTACCGAGGAGAACAAGTGTCGAGGTTAAACCTTCTAATACAGTAGAAGTTGATTCATCGGGAATGAGTCAAACTGCCAAGAAAATATTAGAAGCATTGGAACATTTTTCGTCGCCTATATCCGACGCGAAGAAAATTCCTGTGAGGAATGCTGACAGTTCTCCGTTAATGAGTAGGAAAAGAGCGCGAGAAGAAGTAGCGACTCCATCCGCCAGAGTCGGTTTGCGTCATTTAACACGTGAATTGACAGTACCAACCGTTCCGGACATACTGAAATTGAGGAGACGGCAAAAGTTACAAGATACAACTCTCGCAGCTAGAAAAATAGTTTCCGCGCGTACTGACCCACCTCCGCCTACACAGGAATATCACCTGAGGTGACTATGTTTATCAAATACACGTTTTATGCACATATGTATTTATCTTGTGGCAATTAATATTTAAAATCTTTTTTTTTTTTTTTCTTTTTCACACAGAACGGAGGACAGCGATAGAGAAAAATACCATGGAAAAATAAAGGGCAAGTCTAAGAAAAATTTAGAAGAAGAGGAAACTGTGGAACCCGTGAATTTACCTAACATACCTTTGCCGATATCGACATTACCCAACTTCACTTTTACGCTACCTCCTCCTCCACACACCATTACCAAGACTACGACAAACAAGGAGAACACCTTTACGTTTGCCAGTCCGATTAAAGTAACAGACGCTGGCAAGAATTTGCAGTCCTCCAATCATTATACTTTCAGCGATCCCATCAATGCTGAAGATAACGCGAGTAATGTAACGTTGTATTCGAGCTCGTCTTCAGTAACAGGATTTACTGGATCTCCTGATCATACGGTCACGTCTATGCCGAATTTCATTTGGTCCAGCTCGTCCACAGCACCTAGATTGAAAGAGAAGACGAAAAACAATAAAGATATTGTCGAGTCAGCTCATGAGATGAAGTCGGGGAGTGTCATGGACATATTGTGTCCCAAATTGAACCAAGCGGAATCCAACGTAATTGCGCAATCAAACGTAGGACTGTCTTCTAAAGCGGCGCACACCGACAAGATGACCAGCGCATTCGACTCCAATACAGATGTGAAAAGCGCGCGTGATACAGACTCCTCTGGCTCAGTTAGCAGTATCGCGACGCCTGCAACCAATTGGGAGTGTAGTGAATGTCTCATCAGGAATAGTGACTCGGACAAACATTGCATCGCATGTAAAGCTGCCCGGCCAAACCCCAACGATAAAGTCTCGACACCCCCGTCAACGACCGACATCGTCGTGAAAACTAAGCCAGTCACCAAAGACTGCTTCGGCTCTCATTTCAAGCTGTCCACTAATGAATGGGAATGTACGGCTTGCTACGTGAGAAACAAACAGAATGACGTTACCTGCGTGGCGTGCACCGCCGCGAAACCAGAAAACAAGCCGATGATGCAAGCGGCTGCACCAGCCGCGGTCAAGTTCCAGAAGTCTGATCTAATGGAAAAATTCAAACCTGCCGAAGGATCGTGGGAGTGCTCCGGCTGCTTGCTGAGAAACAACGCGAACGTCATTACGTGTCCTTGTTGCAACACATCCAAGCCTACTCCGATGAAAGTGAGTTCGACCAAGACGGATGCTGTGGAGTCTTCCGCTCAGAAATCAACTCCCGTTAGCACAGAAGGCCCGCCGACGGAAGCCGGTAATTCCGACTTAATGAACAAATTTAAGCCCAGCAAAGATTCCTGGGAATGTCCGGGATGTTTCGTTAGGAACAATAATTCCGTCAGCACCTGTCCTTGCTGTAGCACGGCTAAGCCTGGCTCTGTCGGTAGCTCAAGCAAACCGGAACAAACGAAGCAAACGTCGACAACTAATGGATTCGGAGACAAATTTAAGAAGCCCGAGGGCGCATGGACCTGCGACTCCTGCATGCTGCAGAACGACGCGAAGCATACGGAATGCGTGGCTTGCCAAGCCGCGAAGCCCGGCACCACAAAGTCGAATGAGCCTGCATCGAGCTCTGGTTCGACCTTACAGTTCAAGTTCGGCATGCCAGCCAACAGTGGTGGATTCAAGTTCGGTATAGATAAAACCGATGGCCAGTCCAAGTCCGACGCGGCGTCGCCTCTGAACGGATTCAAATTCGGTAACGTGCAGCCGAGCAGCGGCACGGCGCAATTTACTTTCGGTATTCCCAAGGACGAGAGCAAAGCAACCACGAGTGAAGCAACCAAGACCAACAGCACTGTCGTGACGTCCTCCGGCAGTAGCGGATTCCAATTTAACATCAAAGCTACCGAGAAATCCAACACTAAGACGGCTCAAGAGATCAAACAGGACTCGTCTTTCGGTATGGTGAAAGCCGATGTCTCAATGTCGTCGTCGAATAGCGAACAGCAGACCGCGAGCAATGTATCCAGTGCTGTGGTAAGCTCGGCTCTTTTCACGTTCGGCGCGCAGAAATCGATATTCAGCCAGCCTGCCCTGAACAAGCAGACGCAGAAGACTTCTCTCGCGACCACCGCGGCTGAGAGCTCCAAGCTGACGGTGACGAGCGATGCGACAGCGATCAACGTCAGCACGACGCTACCTACGTCGTTGCCCAAGCCAAGCTACACGTCGCCGAACGACGTGAAAGCAAGCCCGATCTTCTCATTTGGCGTGCCGAGCAGTACGAGTGCTGCCACCAGCAACACTTCCACCGCCAGTACAACGACCACTTGTCTTCCAACTTTTGCTCAACCTTCTCTCACATTCTCCGACTCCCCGAAGACGACGACACCTCAAGCAGCAGCCGCGGTGCCGACCTTCGGCCAAGCTACGACGACGCCGTCTCCGGCGCTCTCTGCGAATCTGACGTTCGGCGAGAACAAGATAACCGAGGCGGCGCCCGTGGTGCCTCCGCCGTCTTCTGACAAACCCGCCGCTGCAGCTGCCGCACCGAGCGCTCCGCCGGCGGTCTTCCCGATCGTCTCGAGTTCCACGTCGTTATTCAGCAGTAACGACTCCAAAGCGCCGACAACGTTTGGGCAAGCGGACAAGCTGACGGTGTTTGCCGGCTCGACCAATAAGCCGGCGCCCAGTTATTCTGCACCCGAGAGCAAGATCCCAGTGTTCAGCGGCGCTGTCGAGAGTAAGTCGATATTCGACACGCAGGAGACGAAACTGCCGGTGTTTGGCAGCGGTGAGAAGACAGCGACGCCCGTATTCAATTCACCCGGACAGGCAGGCACGGTGCTGGGCAACCGGTTCGGCTCGTCCACCAGCTCTATCCTTTCGCCTTTCGGCTCATCCAGTAGCCCTGCCTTCGGGGCTAACAACACGAACACACCAGCATTCGGCAGCACGACTACGTCCGCTATATTCTCGACTACCAAGTCGAACGAGAGCAATGCGGCACCGACCCTGCCGGCTATACCCGCGTTCGGCTCGAGTCAGCCGGCCGCGCAGCAGCCGGCGAGCGGTGGCTTCAACTTCTCCGCGAATACCATCAGCCTACCGGAATCGATCGCGGAGCAGTTTGTGTTCGGCAGGGTGGCACCGTCGAGCAGCAGTATATTCAACAACGACACGTTCGCCAACACAGTGCCGACGAATACTGCCAATTTCACGTTCAATGCGCTCAAGCAACAAGAGACACCATCGCCGGCATTTGGACAGACTTCAGTGGCCACCCCGATGTTCGGTTCTAATCCGCAGACGCAAGCGACATCGTCGTTCTCGTCCACTTCCTCGTCCAGTGCGGGATTCAATTTCGGATCCACCGCTCCGTCAGCAACACCGTCAGGAGGCTTCAACTTTGGTGGAATGGTAAACGCACAAGTCCTGTGTTTCTTGTTTAGGAATTTGGTGCATCATTGAGATGCGAGATGCAAACGATATCATCCTCCAAGTGGTGCTTGTTAAGAGGGAATCGTTTGATACTTTTTGTTCTTCTATAATACACGATCTATAATATAACATAATATATAATATAATAACACTATAATATATGATCTGACGACTGACGATTGACAACTGACTCATGATTGCTTGCAGACATCAACGTCCACGCCAACTGGAGGTTTCAACTTCAACCCTCCCGCTTCTACTCCCACAGTGGCTTTCGACCCTAACAGCCGGCCTTCGTTCAACTTCACGAAAGGAAGCGCACCGACAGCATTCAAGTGAGTATATTACAAATTGGATTTGTAATTTGTGTGCGTGTGCAGATATGTATAGAAACGAGCCTTCTGCTTATTTTACAGCGCACCGCCTCAATCAGCGACTGCGCCGCGGAAAATCAAAAAAGCGTATCGACGGATACGGTAGAGAGAGCATATAACGTACAACATTCGCGCGTGTATTCTGGTGCGTCCTCACATCTGTCTCTGTGCATCCGTGTATCTGGATGTGTCTTCGTATGTCTCTGTTAGACGTTACATTGTGGTACAATGAAAACTCTCTGTCACACATGTCAATCGATCGCATCAGTGTGGTGGTATACCAAGCATCTTTGTAATATAGTATAATCCGCTAACTGAACATGCTTGCGTACAGCCACTTGTGTTCTCTACAGGAACTGTAAATTATAAATTATTTAAATTATACAGTAATAATGAATAATATACACTGTGAAGTTGGCATGAAGCCAGAAATAAGCCGTGATGCAGTTGCATTACTGAGACCTTATCCCAAAAGCAGACGCGATGCGTATGTACTGCAATTACGTACTCGAGATAACACACATATTTGCCGAAGACGAAAAAAAAAATACCTCGATTAAGGAAAAAAATAATGAGCACTTAACGCATGCAATTGAAGATAAAAGAAAAGAAATAGTGGGAGATTGACACCCGCTCAGGTAAGTATAAGTCAGTCACAGCTCGTTGCAAGCACTGTTGCTTGCGAATGAATACCGACGATATGAAGAGGATATAACTCTAAAAAGTTACATACGTAAATATAACAATTATTAAGCATTATTTACGCGCAGCATAGGGCGCGTTAAACCGGGACATCTAAATTTTTTTCCATCGCAATAATACGAAAGATTTTATTGATAACATGATACACAAAGTACATATACACTAGGACGAAAACAGATTCCGAATCGAAGAATAATTCGGTTAACATATTTCAGGATATCAATTGAATTATTGTAAAATTGGGAATTTCTACTATACTCATGTTCGTCCCTTTAAATCATATCACATTATTAATTATATTAAAGAGACAAATGTGATAATAGGAAAAGATTTTCGATCCCAGAATAATTTCATATTATATATAACATATAGTGGTATTTACCTTTTGTTGTTTGATGTTCGATGTTCGATGATGAAATTTTGTTAAAAAAATTTTGTTATTAAAAAAATAATTCCATGTATAATCGAACGAGATTATCTAGACAAGTTTATGAGAAAAAATGTCAGTCTAAGATACTTGTGTAAAATCGTGACATTGCGAGCGTTGTGAACTGACTGTATATCAATAAAGTCCCACTATATATATATAAATATATATATATAGACATTAATTATATTTTAATTAGAATTCCGTGGGCAGCCCTACAATCTTTGTAGAACTAGTCCAGGAAAAGTGTAATATACACAAAAATGGCATTCGGATAGTACAAACTGACGATTACTGAACGTTTCCATTGAGTAGTCGAAATTGTATATTTTTTTTATATATCGAATGAAATAATCCTATAAGAGAATATATACTGAATGCCATTTTAATAGGATTAAATTATAATAATGTTGTGTGTTTTATCATAGAGTGAGTGAAATAAATTGGAGAAGAGTATGTTGAATGGAAATAAATTATTAGGGGGCTTCTAAAAAGTTCTTCTCACATTTGCTGAATATAATTTTCATCTACAAATTTCCGATAAACACTATATCTTATTTGTTGTTCCAATACACAAGAGAAATGTCGTTCAGCCAATTTATTTTATAATTCTTGATCCGAGCTTTTGTATCTAATTTGACGATACAACAACAAAATAATTATTCATAATTGCTACATAACTTGAGACATTTGAACACAATTGAGATATAGTAAACTATTCTTTCTAGAAGCCCCTAAGGCGGAAAGTAGATAGATGACGTGTGTTAATGATTAACGAATCATTGAATTATTCACGTCTTATTTAAGATTAGGATAGTTGTCTCTATAATGTTGGCTTAAACTTGACAGTAGCCAAGAATAACTCGGCACATGACCCATCTTCTGCCATAGTAGGCACTTAGGTACAAAACACTTTGTTAGGCATTGTTGCTTATATGCGTTGTTATGTAATATTTACATTAAGTAGATATTAAGGGATGTTTTTCTTTTTAAGTTCTGTACAAGATTATTACAAGACAAAAATCCATATAATTTAATTTTTATGTTGAACTTATATTTTTAACATTGTCAAAATATCCTTTGTAGGTGTTGTTTTCATTTAAGATATACACAGTGTGTTAATTAAATACGTAACGTTAGCGTATGGGTGATTTGAAGAAAACTCTCTGTGATGCAGGTATATGTGATGCTAATTGAACGTATACCGATAAAATAGCGCCGACAAATTAATTCGCATAGATGAAATTACTTTAGTTTTTAAGCAAAGCCCATACCCGGAAACCTACAAAGGATCTTTTGGTTGTAACTGTATATTCGACAAGACTTTATTTTATGCGATTTGCAAAGGAAAACGTAATTGATGGTAAAGGGAGGCTGCGCTGAGATATGTCTGTGCTGCTGTCTTACACTGTGAACATTCTCTGTTGAGGCTGTGTCGTCCATTTGCCTATGAATAGGCAAATTTCCAAATTAATCGATATATCGAGAATACTGCCCGCAGAGGCAGTATCTTTGTATTAAATTTCGTATATGGCCTTACCGATACATAATGAATGTGTAACGTAGATATATTAACGACTGTAAAGCAAATCGTATTGGAGTTGTTTTGTAGCATTTTGTATACTCTCCATTGTAATATGTTCGCATAAACGTCTGAAGAGCACTGCATTAAAAATGTTCAACAATAGATTTGTAACATCCGATGACTGACAAAATTTTTTTTTTAATAATTTTTCATGCACATCTTTTATTTACATAACGAAAGATCATTGAAGTGTAATATTACATGTAATAGCGTTGATAGTATTATTCGTATACGAACATACGAGGCATCAGTAAATTGTATTCTTTTATTTGAAATTAACGGCATATATCTTTTACATTAACGTAAATGTCAAACTTTACGAGACTTGTTTCCACGAGATATATTTGTTTCTATGAGTCATAGGATGTTACAATATGTCAAATGTTCCGAGGCCTTATTATAATCTTAGTCCATTGGAGAAATTATGCATCGTGTACTGAATTTTTCTGAATATCTGTAACAATTCTATCGAGAATGATGTATTAAGCAATGATCTAATGAAGTTCAGAAATGAGGGAGTTTGTTATGAAATAAATCCAATGACTGACTGTAATTAAATAAAATGTACATGGGAGAATGTTCACTGTATGCTTCAGGTGCTATGAGGATGTCGGTACATTCTCATACATATGATGTAACGTTAGTTAATATTATCAGAAAAAAAAAAAAATACATACGCGTGTCGGTGTTTCTCAACCGATGAATCAACAGAACAAAATTCAAGAGATGTTTGTTGTAATACGTAATACGCGCGACATACAAGAAGAGCCATCTTAATTCGCACAAGAAGGATCGACGAAATACGCTTAATGACGATTGAATATTCTCGTTCTTTGATATTGTCATGCACCGAATATGTATTATATCAACTTGAAATCCGTAAGTCACAATTTCTTCCTCTGATGCATTACGAAATGTCCTTGATTTCGCAAAATGTGTAGATAAGACATTGATAATACTCGCAATAAAAATGGTAATCTATGTAAAGAAGAAAATGGAATTCTTTTGTGGGCCAGAAGCGCAAGGAATAATTATATCTCAACTCTCTTCAGGGCTGCTTCTTTGATGCTACATCTTTATTGAATTAAGGTGACACATTGCCTTAATGGGTAGCGCTTGTGATATTTAACAAGGGCTACTTGAGCTTGTGTTGAGAAACACCCCGTGATAGGATACATTAACATTATTACGAATACTATTCTTAATACTATCCTCCCCTCTCTGTTTATCTGTAACAATTATATTATACACCATTAGATGATATATAACAAATACTAATTAAACAAAAACACACGACGATGTTAATTTGGGTTATATAGTTTTATTTTGTATCTACTAGAAGAGAAAAGAGAGAGTAACTTCTGTAGGAGGGCATTTAGCTAACGGCGGTTTGAACTGAAGAATTTTACTATAGTATGTGCACATGTATACGTAACAACGTTATAAAAAATCATTCTGCTCTGATGTGCGCGCGTTTGTGCAAAGCAAAGCAAAAGTGAAATGTGCAGTCCCATACTAAAATCCTTTAGGTCAAAGAGTAATTTAGAAACAGACGTTAGGATACGCGAATTTTTGATTGCAGTCCCAATGTTCAGATAAAGTGTAATATTTTATAAATATGTTCTTTTATTTTGTTTTAATCCTGTAAGTAGTAGGATTGTGCTCCTTGACAGTTCCTCAAAGAAATATACAAAATAAGAAATCCATACTGTGAATTATTGTATAACGTTTGTGGTTTTCAAAACCCTAAATTGTACACATGTTACACCTGTATAGATATCGCTTTGCAAATCATTGTAATGATCGGTTTTGAAAGATCAGTTGATTTTCCACGTTATGATACAAAACAATACGTAAACAATTCTCTTTGAGTACTTTCAATAAAGTGCGAATGATTTTAATGCTCCTTCCATCTCTTGCAATATATCACTCAAAATAAATAAGTTAAAGTAAAACGTTCGAAATACCTCATTAAAGGATTCCTTAACAATATATAGCTCCTTAAATAACTATAACACACGATCTGCGATTGTTATTGATTATTCTATATACAATATTACGTTTATTCGACATATTAGATTATGGATATCGGATAGCGCGTGTAAACACGTATTTGTTTCATCATTTGACACAATTGTATAGGGAATTATAAATGAAATAAAAAAAATGAGTTCTCTGTAATTATGTGTAATATAAAAAATGCATATTTTTATTTTAGATCCACAATTTCGATACAATAATTGTTCTTATTAACTCAAAAAGCTCGCCATGCATAAAGTTGCTTTTCGTTCGTAAATGATAATGCTCGCTCTCGCTTTCTCTCTCTCTCTCTCTCTCTCTCTCTCTCTCTCTCTCTCTCTCTCTCTCTCTCTCTCTCTCTCTCTCTCTCTCTCTCTCTCTCTCTCTCTCGCTCTCGCTCTCTCTCTCTCGCGCACGCGCTCATTCTGATTCTGCTATTTACAAACTATAAATTAAACGATGGCCATTTAAGTTAATATAAAGGTTTCGTGTCACTGCTATACTTTTTAATTAATGCGATGTAAATAGGAGAGCATGTATAACAATATATCGATACTTGCTCAACGATGATATATATTCTACTATATCGAGAAACCCTGTAATAAAATGATTGGAGATCAAACACAAATCTGAATATAGAACATGTATATTCCCGTCTCGTGCTTAATATAAATTCTCTAAAGTGATGTTTAACGAGAAAATTCGGGAGATTAGGTAAGTGAGACTATGGCGATAAAGAACTGTATTAAAACTTGTGGCACGAATTTTATTCCGAGATTTACAACGAAAATGTTTCAACTAGTTAAAATGCCGCTTAATCTTGGGATATGAAACATTGACACGTACAACATAGGTAATACAAGACGATGTGGACAATTCAGATATACAATTCAGTAGTTTGCATTGAACTGATAAAATTGATTCGTTCTCTATTCACGTAGTGTTGTGTCTGCGACTTGGATAGGCCTGCTGTGCTTCTCAGAGAGGTGGATTCACTAATTAATTAATTGTTAAGACTTCGCTGGCTGATAAATCTAACAGCCGATCCTCTCTGAGCAGCCCATGTTCTTTCGCTATTATATCACTTCTATTACGATGTTATAATTTAGGTACAATCTTAATTATTCAATATTAATGAGAATATTAATAACCATGTTTTATTTTTGCTTGAATTAATTATAGACTGTAATTATAATTATTTTATAAAGTTTTTCTTACACTAAGAATCATCAGACATGAAGGAATTTTGGGATTTTAACTCCTCTAGCGTTTTAATTTGTTGACGGAGGAATAATATCCTAAAATGGCAAGCAAATCAATAAGATATTGAAAAATGAAAGCACAGATGTGTTTCACAACGAGCGTTACGAATTTATGAAACATTTTACGTGAGAAATATATGTTAATGAGAAATATATGTTAGACGCTTACCTTTGTTCCTGCAATGTTGCTTGGATTTCTGTCAGCCTCACTATCGATCGTGCCGTCTTCAATTCTGCGGACACTCTGGTACACTGCAAACTGCTCATTGTGTGTGCTTCCTCACTAAGTTTCTGTGCCTGAACATACGAATTATTTGATATGTATCATCCATTAGAATTGAGGACCTGTGTCAGAGACATCAGTTACTCACCTGTTTTTCGAGAATATCAGCGGGAAAGGCACGCACATGTTGCGTTAGATCTTCCCGATAATGATTAGCGAGAGACGGTGTTAAAGAAGGTGTTAAAGGAGGCTGTACTCTAGATAATGCTTGTAAACCTCCCGTGTTACTCAGGTTGCCCAGAGAACCTAATGTACTTAGGTTTTGTAAAGAACTCAGACCTTGAACTCCAGAATTTGTCCCCCCAGGACTTGTTACTATAAGAAATAAACACAAAATAAATAAATAAATATATAAATAAATGCATGCACATATGTACATGTATATAGATTTGCAAAAATACACATAGATTTAGTAGCAAAAAATTGAGACTAATGGAAATGAGAAGTTTTGTCTTAAGAGAGATTAAAATAACAACTTTACGAAATATTTTAATATGCTATAAACCTACAACGTAAATCTTTTTACGATAATAACTGTGAACAGTAACTGTGTGATATTCTTTCATAATTTTTACCTTCTAATCTACATATAACATATGTTACATTATATTTTGTGTAGTATTCAAGTGTAGAATTTGATCGAATTGATAATCTGCATCCATCACTAATGATATTTGCATGACTAGAACAAATATGCATTAAATAAAATATCGACCAAGTACTTACACTTTCGCGCGTCAATACAATCTTGGGTTTCTGAATGTGTGGGTGTTGGTGGACCTTCGCTAGTAGTGTTGCCACTTGTATCAACCTTTAGTGGAACCATTACATCGTTTCCACTATTGTTTCGGTCTCCACTAACGGACTGCTAGAGGGCAAATAAATAAGTAGGTACATTTATGAGTGCTGCGTCTGTGCTCATACAAAACTTATTTTTGCATTTAGCAATGCAAGATATCTTCGTCATGTTGAACAATTTTATTCTCTCATGGAAAAGTTTAAATTATCACGTCTAACTAGTGAATGTCTTTTATCAATCTCTCTTTTTTATTTTAATTAAATACGTACAGAACAAACACATATTTTATAATTAAATATGGACAGCATCAAATAATCAAACTCAAATAAAAAAATCTGCGTCCAATCCAAAATCCAAAAATATTCTCTTACTTGTCGGGATAGCAAGATGGCGGTTTGAATTGTCTGTAACGCCTTTTGCGGCGTGATATCGGGTTGTTCTTTATTGCCCGTGATTTGAGACAAAAGCTTAGGGAGACTTGCCAGCGACACCGGTGGTCCTGGTGCATTGCTGTTTCCTTGTTGCTGCGTAGGTGAATTGAGTTTTCCGGGCGCCTGCGCCGTCGATGGTGGATGTGATGTTAATCGAGGTAATGCTGACAAGATCAAGATCAATCAGGATTATAAACGAGAGATGTACAGAAACAGCGTGAAACGCTACGTACGAGAGAACACAAGGAACCTTTGAGATTTCAAAGAAAATTACCAGTTTCTTTGATTCCCATTCCGCGAGAATCAAGTCCGATCGTACGGGGTATCATTCGCATTGAAAGTGTGCCGTTCACAAGAGAGATCACGATATATCACGAAAACGCGGAAAGGCAAAATTTCTGAAAATTTTCAAGAACATACCAGTGGCCAAGAGAACAGGGCCCTGTGGCAGTGGGTCGTGAGCGCTGGATGTCAAGGGCTCCGAAGTAGGTGTAGAATCGCCGGGCGAGATATCCATATCCTGAGCTTGACGCTCCACTCCAACTTCTTCTCTAGAAGATTCTCTTTCCCGTTCGCGCTCTCGCTCTCTCTCCCGTTCTTTCTCCCTCTCACGTTCTCTCTCCCTCGCGGACACGTCCTCTCTGCTACTACTCCCGCCACTCCCGCCACATGAGCTCCAATATTCTCGTTTGTCCGACTGTCGCGACGATTTACCATCTCGCATACTGCTACTGCTATTCGATCGCGAGTTGGAATGTTTATCATGACCTGACCAAGAAAATATAAAACTGTGAAGGGTCTTATAAATTTCATACGTGAAACAATTTGCTGAGCTTCAGCAACGCTACCATTGAAAGATCTGTCTCTTCATTGCGG